ACCACCAGAAGTCTAGCGTTCAAAGAGCTTAGGTCTCGGTTTGGTTGATATGATTCTAACGTGTCTTAGTGGTAGATTAAGAGAGGATGAGAAGGCCTAGACTTCTAAAATCCTTACTGCAAACATATGATGAGGCATACAGATCAATAGTGATAGTAATGGTATGATTCTATTTTAGTTTCAGACTGCATCCTGCAACAGACCACAGGGAAAACAATCCCATAGAGGAACATAATATGATTTTCATTGAAACGTATTCAATTTGACAGTGGCTCAGTTGGTGGAGCATTGGCCTTTCAGCCTGAAGGTCCTGGGTTTGATCTACCCACGAGACCTTCTCCGTGGACTCCCACTGATGTTTGCTGTCATTGTGTCCTTGGGTAAGACACTTAACCCATCTTTGCCTGAAGTGCCCACTGAAAGATCAGTCCTCTGTCGTCACAGACAGAGCAGCTATCCTCCTGAGGACTCACCACCTGCAGCAGGAGCAGCTCTGACTGCAACCCCAGGACCCAGAAATGGATTGAGGGGAAGAATATGGATGGATAGACCTTCTAGCAAGCACCCTGTATGAACTGTATGTGCAGGATCACAACATCAAGGGCACATTTGTGTTTGAATATTGACACTTTTACTTATTCATGAGATTTTTTTTTTTACTAAAACCTCTGACCTAACACACTTTTAATTTACAGAAATTCTGCTTCTACTCAGAAGCTAAAGGTTCAGCGCAGACGTAGTTTTGAGTTGCTAAAGAAACAGTTACGCCAGCAGTACCAGTTATCCTATACACACATCCACAACAAAACTTGCAGCAATGACCAAAAGACGTTCAGCTGAATTGGAAACTGTTTAGGGGGACACAGAGGGATGCAGTTCTTTTTCAAATAATAAGACTCTCACATCTGCTGGAATAATGCAAAACCTAAAAATGTAGGAGGAAGCTCCTCTGCTGTCAAACCCCAAGCACTACAGTCCTGTCAAACAATCATCTGCAACTGTAAACAAATTGTAGCCAGCGGTGCGAGGTGTGAGATCTTCTTGAGACTTTTCATTGTGCGGAAAGACACCATCACTTAACTGCACTCTGTGGCAAAGTCAGAAGCCGCCAGGGGCCGGGGGAAAACTCCTAGCAGGTCAATAACATCCTCAGTAGTGTCTGGTTCACTGCATGAAACTGACGCTATTGAGGAAATGTGAATCACACGTCCAATGCAGCTTAAAGGAAGAAAAAACAGACTATATTGATCAGACTCCTCACTGTGTTCCAGTCTGAGGAGTATATATACTTGGAATATATATATATATATACAGGACAAAAATGAAAATCTATACCAGAGTTTGAAATGTTAGAACAAGAACTAACACAATCCATTTGTTTTTTTCTTGTTTTAACCGTTATCATGTTTACTTGAATAAATCTGGATAGTGAACTGCTGAATCCAATTGACTTTGAGATATTTAAGCAAAGTAGATACAAATGAGTATGATGTACAGAACAGTGTGTTGAGATCTGTTTCAGGTCCTGTCTCCCTCTCCTGTGTGTTCCATTTTACATTGCTGTTATCTTGAGATAATTACTTCTATTGAACAGCTTGATTGGGGTCATTGCTCTGTGGGTAATTGCAATAATTGTGGTCTCCTTTACTTTTTACGCTCAAGTAGGAAGGTTGCACCAAGGTAAAGAGAAAACCTTCAGCCTAGTATTTGAGAAACTAAAAACTGAGCCAGAGGTTCAGGCTCACACTTTACATATCTGTGATTCCAGTGTGGTCAGACAGATCCACTGATTCTGACCGCACTCCACAAATCTCTGATTTAATTAAGGCTTGAACATGTGGTCTCACAAGTGTAGCTTCAAGCACTATACAGTAGGACCAGCCCACAGCTCTTTTGATAAACTAACAGAAACTATCTATGAAACTGTGTATCAGAGGTAGATTCATGGAGAGTTTGCAGATGACAGAGGCTGAATGATCCAGGACATGTATATGAACATTTATGAACATTGGTCATCCCTATACCCTATGTTTCTTTATTACTGCATTTCTTGTGTTCTAACTGTTTGATTCTCTGATCAATTGTGGGCAAATTGTAAATTTAGTAAAATCCTGATAATTTAATTAAGAGCTATACAACCATACATTGAAACATTAATGAAATGTAATGCTGAATTGAGTTTTGTTACTCTGCATATTGTATTTAAACCATACAACCACACTGCTCCGATTTGTTTGTGCCGCTTACACCATACGGTCAAAACACTCGCACAAAAAACCTATATATTTTCTCCTCTCAAAAAATATGTTTGTGTATTTGTGTAGGTTTGCAGAAATGTATAAAAATATATATATATATATTGAGCATGTTTCACAACTCACTTCAATTTCTTGTTGTAATAGACCTTTAGAATAAGTGTTATTATGCAAACTGTAAGGCTATTGTTAGTAACTTTATGTATTTATTTGTGATGTCTGAGGCAGAGTAATATTGAATCTGTAATTTAACATGAGGTCTAAACACTATTGATCAATGGTAGTTTGCACCGGACTCCTCACTGATCATGGCACGACACCCTACAGTGAAGGTGAGAGGTCGCTCGTAGGAGGAATACGTTACAATATACCCAGTTACGATAACACAAGCCCACACAAGATAATACAAGTGTTCTACAATGTGTGTCAACAAATACTTATCAAGACTATGACTCCTTTCAACTCCATGTTAGTCCTTCCTCACCTGTGCGTCTCAGAGGAGTGTCCTGGAAACAAAAAACAAGAACAGGCCAGAAACCATGAGGCATTCTTCTGTAGATCACCACTTCACCCATTCATACCACCCACCTCAGAGTCAGTGATCACCTATAACAAAAGATTTGGAGGATTTGTTCTAAAAAAAAATATGAATCAGGTTTGTGGAGATTCAAGCTGGGTCGCAGTTGTGACGCTGTTTACTCAGGCCAAAAAGTTGTATAATGTGGTTATGAAAATGTCTACTAAATGTTTGTCCCCAGTCCCATACTGAGTACAAATCTGAATAACTTACTCTGCATTAAAAAACTCAACTTTATTATGAGGGAAAATATCTTGAATGGGAGGTCTTTACTCCTAAAGTTTTCATACATAGAGAGTTGTCTGAAAGAATGAACTGTTTTCTAACCCCAGCGTTCCCAGAGTATTTGGACAGCACAGACCCAGTGATGGATGGAGCTATTCTCATTACACGGACCCATTACGTCAAAACTCAGTCACCCGCTAAAAATAAGACGGCACTTTTTCAGACAATCGTTGTTTGAGTTGGACCAGCTATATCCATCCTCTGCACACTCCCAGGCCAATACTAAATTAGTCACATCAGGGTTGGCCACATGCTCCTGAAACTAAAAGTTATAGTTGTACACACAAGTGAACAATCAGTCACATTCACTCACATTCTTACATTGAGCCTCATGAACGGTATACTTTTATAATTATGTGAATAACAACTATCTTCACTCTTTCATGAGTAGATAGGAGGAGAAAACACTTTTTGGCTGCTTTGCTCAGGTGGATACAATCAATTCCATGGCTTCCTTGTTTGAATGGACATTGGGTGAATGGTTCCTTTGGCACCCCCTCCACTGTTTCTTGTTGGCTCTGCTTTTTTTTCATTGCTAATATTGTTCACTCTTGGCCTCAGACGGTCACTCTGGAGAGCTTGAATGGTCTGACATTACACTGCCTTTGCACAGGATGTCTCTTGTGCTTGAGTCATTCATACACTGCAATTTTCCATTGTAATAAATGAGCAGACCCAAAGGTAAATAACGTCTATTTTTAGTAATCAGAAGCACTCATAGAAATACATTTGTCTATTTTTTTTATTATTTACAGTCTGAAATTAACCTTCTGACTGATTGAAAGTAATAAAAATAATTCAGAATAATTACCATTCAATGTTCATGTTCATGTTCTTCCATTGATGCAGTAGAAATACTGTAGTTTTGGTAAGAATAACACCTAGTGACTTGAAAAGAAAAATAAACTTCCCATTTCTACTGTAATTAAATAAAAAAAATACAATTTGCTTCTTGTGCAGTTCAAGGATGTGGTTAATCATAATATTATGTACATCAAGAGTTTTGTACATTTTCTTCGGGATTCCCATCTCCTCATTCACATCATTTCCTTTTTAGTGTGTGTCAGTGTTTGGCTTTCTTGCTCCCTCTGGCCATTTCATGGGAAAAGAAACTTTGGGCTATTTTAGGAAAACGACAACGTTATGACCCCGAGCAGTCCCAAATCCTCTGCCCATTTCATTTTCCAGCTCGGGCACTTGTTGCACGTTTGAGTGTTTTTGTAAAAGTAAACTCCACTCATATGAAGCTGATGAGAATGGCGCATGCAGCTTGTGTTAAATTGGGGGAAATGATGCACGATGCAGCTGGAGCTAAAAGGCGCGTACTTCTCCTTGAAACGTGATGATTCCTGCGCCTTTCTATTTGCCACATGTAGAGACTGATCCGAGCGTCTGTTTATTACAATGTGCGTTTCGTGATCAACGTGCCAAGTGCTTTATTGTCTGTGCGTGAATTGAGGATAGACATAAGCAATCTATACGCGCGCCACGGAGACATCAAGTTTTACGCACCGCCATTATTGTGTGTAAGATGTATTCCGGAATATTTCGATTGTTTTGCATTTATTATTTCGGGATGTGTCGTTTTCTGGCTTTTTTCAGGGCGAAGAGCTGGATCACTGTGACCTGCGCATATGTTGTTGCATGTGTGTTTTGTTTCCCTCTGTGAGAGAGCCTTCAAGTCGGGGAGGGTATAGCCTGCTTAAAATGCACTGAATGTGACAGCTCAGTCATAGTCCAGGCTTGAGCCGTGCACGGAGACAAGGTGTGCGCGGAGGGGGCAGTAAACATGCCAGCCAAACCAGATCACCCGCAGACGTGACGCACGCCTCCAGGAGACAGAGCCGAGACAGACAGGAGCGAGGAGCGTCCCCGGGTAAAATATGACAGTGGTGCCCGCGGAGAACCTGGATGAGACCGTGGCACTGGCTGCTCTGTCTGCGCAGGATGTCTACGACCCGGAGCGCACGGAGAACCAGGAGTGCTGTGAGCGCGTGGTCATCAACATCTCCGGGCTGCGCTTCGAGACTCAGCTCAAGACTCTGTCCCAGTTCCCATCCACACTACTGGGGGACCCGCGCAAAAGGATGCGCTTTTTTGATCCACTTAGGAACGAGTACTTTTTTGACAGGAACCGACCAAGCTTTGATGCCATTCTCTACTACTACCAGTCTGGAGGCAGGCTGCGCAGACCCGTTAATGTGCCCGTGGATATATTTATGGAGGAAATTAAATTCTACGAGCTTGGAGAAGATGTGATTGAGAATTTTAAGGATGATGAAGGGTTCATTAAAGAGGAGGAGCGACCATTGCCTGAGAATGAATTCCAGCGTCAAGTTTGGCTTCTGTTTGAGTACCCTGAGAGCTCTGGACCCGCGAGGGGGATTGCCATAGTCTCTGTACTGGTCATTCTCATCTCCATCGTCATATTCTGCTTAGAGACATTACCTGAGTTCAGGGAGGAGGCCAGAACGTTGGAGGAACATCTTGTTGTCAATGGGACCTCACGCGCAAAAAAGCCCAATCCGTTCACAGACCCTTTCTTTATTGTAGAGACGCTTTGCATTATCTGGTTCTCCTTTGAATTACTCGTTCGTTTTCTGGCTTGTCCCAGTAAACCTGCGTTTTTCAAGAACATCATGAACACTATAGACATTGTGGCCATCATGCCATACTTCATCACCCTGGGACTCGAGCTCGCCGAGCACCAGGGCAATGGGCAACAGGCCATGTCCCTGGCCATCCTCAGGGTCATTCGTCTTGTGCGCGTCTTCCGCATCTTCAAACTCTCGAGACACTCTAAGGGGCTTCAGATTTTGGGAAAGACTTTGCAAGCCAGTATGAGGGAGCTGGGACTTCTTATATTTTTTCTTTTCATCGGAGTAATTCTTTTCTCCAGTGCTGTGTACTTTGCAGAGACAGATGACCCTGAATCAGGATTTTCAAGCATCCCGGATGCTTTCTGGTGGGCAGTGGTTTCCATGACAACTGTTGGGTATGGGGATATGTGTCCAGTGACCATAGGGGGTAAAATAGTGGGGTCATTGTGCGCCATCGCTGGTGTGCTCACTATTGCCCTCCCGGTGCCCGTCATCGTGTCCAACTTCAACTACTTTTACCACCGAGAGACCGAACACGAGGAGCAGTTCCAATACACGCACGTCACGTGTGGACAACAACAGCCGCCGTTTTTGGAGATCACAAACAGCGACAGTAAACCGTCTTTGACTAAATCCGAGTTCCTGGACAGTGAGGAAGTGGACTCCATCAAATACACGAACTGCAGTCCACATAAAACATACAGCGGGAAACTCACAGACGTGTGACGCGCGCCACAGTGACGCTCAAAGCCGCTGGTTTAAGTTGAGACTGCGCTCTGTGCATTCTGGCATCACACAAACGCGATTCTCCTCAGTGTCTTCCATGATCGTAACACATGAGCAGTTTATAGCACTTTATAGCTGAGGTTCTGTTGTTAACATTGCCTTTTTGCACTTCACGTTTGCGACACATATTGTTCACCATGACCATCTCAATCCTTAATGTCATGGCACAAGAAGGGCGTTGGCTGGATTTCAGCTGTGGGTTGTGCTAATATAACACAAAGCTGCGGAACTACTGATCTTATCTCTATCTTATATTTGATTTATCAACTTCAACTGCCTTCCAATTTGACAGAGCACAGCAGGAGAGAGACGGGGTGTGCCATGAGCGCCATCATGTGGCTGTCTAAATTTACCACATCTTTCCAAAAGCAGTTTCTATAGCAACCTTTCAGTCTTTTCTGTATTGTCTCTCCAAAGGGCGCAGACTGAATATAGAGACCAGAAAACCACCATGTTGTGGATGCCTCCATGTTGTTTGAACTGATCATTTGTCTATTCATGGTGTTAACCTAAGCATTAGTTCCTGGTCTATTGACGTTGTTAAGACTTTACCCCATTCGAAATATATTACATTTTTGTTTTAAATTGCTCAATTTCAGTTTGAACAATACCATCTATAGCTATATTTAACCAGCCTGCATGTCATCTGAGACGAACTCTGACTTGGAACTGGGATTCAGCCAAACCTGGCATTTTAGAAATGCAAAGGAAGCCAACATACAAACAGTAGATATCATTTATTTGCCCTCTACATGTCATAACAATAACTATATCTGCAAGACCGTGCAGTCAAACATGAAATAGGTTATGCGCTTATGGGGAAAAAATGGCTTAGTCATTCAGCAATCCTGACACGCTTTCAAAATGGTCTCATATTTTTAACACATTTCAAACATCCGAACTCATGAATTCGTCCTTTCAATGTGACCCCATCTTGAACGCTGCATCAGAGACTTCAGACATCTGCCCCTGAGATAACAGTGTCAAGAGACAGAATGGAATAAACGATCTGGATGTGAGAAAAAAACATTTGGATTATTGGAGTCCTCGGACTTAATCTGCATTTCCAATGACCTTCACAGAACGTGTTTTTACATGGACTGGTCACGAAGAGGTGAGTGCAGCTGAATGATCTCTAACCAAAGGGCAAACATTTAGAGCACCTGGCACCGCATTACAGTAGCTGCACTTCATACTTTGACCTCTTGGTGGCACTAAGCTCTTCATTTACAGAGCAGGTGCAGACGGTGCAGACCTACAGGGTGTTTAGAGGTCATAATATTGGCACAATATAAACACGAAGCAATAACATAATAATAATAATGGATTACTATTGATTGGAGTATCCCATGAACGTGTTTATTCACAGTTTGACTTTGAGCAAAACATATTCAGTTTGCCAATCCTGAATGACAAACTGACTATAGATTAAGAGATCCTTTATTCGTCCCACAGTGGGGAAATTTCAGTGTTGCTTCACAAGTTATAAAACAGTCGGAAAGAGGAGCCCACAGCACAAGATGAGTGAACAATAGCTACACTAATACAATTAAAACAAAATCTCTAACTCTAATATCAAATAACAAGTATAAAATCTCTACTGCATGACGAATGATAGTCGTTATAATTATGTAAAGAAATGCTACAATCACTACATCTTTAAGTCATTTCCTCATTATAGATAATTACAAATCCCTTCACACCCATTTAAACTAAGATAACTGCGGTCTGCATTTCAGTTGCAGCTGAAGGTGCATGACAAGTCGGCATCTCTCATCAGAGCAGACATGGGCCAAAGTGCTAAGTGAATGAGTGTTCCCCAGGGAGAGGGTCAGTGCCTCTCCTGGACCCTCACCTCCGTATCTCCTCGTGTGATTCCTCCCAACATAAGCACTGGAGGTAAACACAGTTGCTCTGACAGCTATTGTTAGTCTATGTGTCATCACTTAGGGAATGTGTCCTGAGGCCTCAAGTGGTCCAGAGTTACAGCCTGTCTGACCCCCAGTCGACCCCATAACTGCTCTTTCCACTCCGCCACAGGGCCCTGCACCAGTCAGCACCCACAAAACAACAGACACTTATATGCTCAGGCAATAATGGTAATGTAGCTGATCTGAGCGCTGACAGAATCATAAGGTAAGATATGATAAGAGGACCTTTGTTCGTCCCACTCTGGGGAAATTTCAATGTTGCAGCGCACATACAGGACAGTAGTAAGAGCACACATGTGGGAAACACACATGATATACAGTATGAGTAGCTGCTATGCTTCTTAGCTAGCTGTAAATGCTTCAAAATCAATATGTCTCTATATCTCTATCTATCTATAGTGTAAAGTTATACACATATAGGGCAGGATGTCATCTCTCTTTCAATCTTTTCTTTCTTTCACTAATACAGACCTCATTTTTAGACTATTATGTATCTGTTTTATTGTATTTATTTATTACATCAGATGTCATCCTTCCACACACAGTCACTTTTGGACACTTGGCAAACCTTTTGATGTTCTGGGGTAGATTGGCCAAATTTGCCAATTTACCAATCAAGTTTCTCTTTCATGTTTTCCAGTCAAAGTACATGCACAAATACACTTGTTGATTACAAGTGTATTTGTGCATGTACGTCATTTACACTTGATTAGACAGAGTCATGAGACCTTGAGCAGTGCAAGTCTAAACTTTCACTTGCAACAGCTGCTTGTTGCTACAGCAGAAGCCTTACAATAACAGTTCAAACAGCCACACTGATTGTCCAGGATTACTGCAGTTAAAACAGCCAACATAAAATATTATGTTAAAAGGTTAATTCAACTTTCGGAGTAGGTCAAACGTAATGCCGGTGTCCAGGAAAGAGTCACATTTCACAATGACATAATACATTAGATTCTGAGTGAAAAAGGCTCAGGCAGAGGTCGATCAACGCCTGCGAAAGGAGATCTCTGGAGACACAGACTTCAGTGTCCAGTGGAGAGGCGAGGCAGGTGGAATCAAAGACTAACAGCTCTCTAAAAGCCTTTCTCTTTGACTTTCTAGTTTCAGGAGATGAGGAGACCGTTCTTTCTCTTATGAATCTTATGTAATTCGCCTATTTAGTTATTTATGTCCTTAGGTTTCACCCCTCAAAACAATGCCTGTTAATTTAGGTTCCTAAGATTGGAATATGGAAAACTTGTTATGTCTAGTGTTTCTCTTTTATAATGAAGTCTTATGTTGTCCGACTGCGATTGTGAGCTACAGATGTACTCTACTCTATTGTATAATCTCTCTTTGGCAGGGGTGTCAAAACCTTTTAGTAAGAGGGCCACTTGAGTTCACCAGACTCGTCAACAACACAGATTCTCAAACTGTTTTGACTGGATTTGGGCTGTTCTGAGGTTTAAAATGTTTGTGTTATGTCCATATTGATTTACATTTAATAGATATGAAATTTACTTGTGTGAAAAATTGCACCACAGCTACAGCTACAAATGAAAAGCACATATCTGTCTATATTATCAAAGTAAACAGCTGGATTTTAGAGGTTATCCATAAAATGATTCATAACATACCTATATTGGTGGAGCTGAAGTTGGCTGAATGACACTGTGAACTTGTGTTTATGGTTTCAAAAGCTACTTTAGGTTAGCTAGGCTGGGGGCCACATAACATGACACAGAGGGCCACAATTGCCCCGCAGCCCTTGGTTTGGACACGCAAGCGTTGTTATGTATTTTCCACACATGATATTGAACGATCTATCTGGTAATTAATCAATTACAGAAGATTACTATTTTACAATCAAGTGTAAAATAGTAATCTTTCCACAGACACCAGAAGATGGCTACTAGACAGGACACTATCTGCATTTGTAAGCTCTGAAGTAAAAGCAGTGTGTGTTTCGGATCTACAAATACAAAAAGAATCAACCAATTTGTGTAATCAAGGTCGCATTCAGGGCCACTGGGCAGTTTGGCTGTTTCAAATCTTTATGATTTTAGATTTAGATTTTAGAGTACATCTTTTGTACAATACTTTAAGTTTACTCCCACCTACAGTAAATGAGTCATTGATTCATTGCAGATTTAGAATCAGAATCAAAATTCTTTTTTATTGCCATTGTAAGTGACAGAAAGTCACAAGCAAGTCATTTGCTTTGGTAAATGGTGCAAACAAGTTATAAAATAGTAAAACATAGGTATAAAGGCATGCATAACAAACTCTAATATAAAACACTATAGACATTTAAGAGTGTGAATTATTGATGAGTGTCCAGAAGTATGAGAACAGGAGTTGGAGAATAGTGACGCTTTGTCTAAATACAGAAAGCGAGTGAATGATCTCACAGATGCAAGTGAGAAAACACGACTCACAACTCACTGCTCTGCTCTATTTTGGTATTTTGTTTTCTCCCTAAATTGTGAATGATTGACAGGAGCTCACAATGGCTTAGTTTGATTGTCACTTTGAGTGTGTGTACTGATGAATGTTTGTTGTTTTAGGGAGAACATTGAACACTCAGCTCAACCTGGCTTACCTTGAACCAGAAGAGACCTGCGCCCTCCTCCTCTTGATCCACTTTGGACACATTATTTACAGGAAGACACCATTTTGCACAGAGAAAGCTGCAGTCGGCCTCTGGACTTGAATATGGAGCCTTGAACAGCTGATAGCTCTTCACTACTGTGTGTGTGTGTGTGTGTGTGCTTGTGAATATGTGTGCATGTGTGGGTGTGTGTGTGTGTGTGTGTGCTTGTGACAATGTGTGCGTGTGTGTGTGTGTGTGTGTGCTTGTGAATATGTGTGCATGTGTGTGTGTGTGTGTGTGCTTGTGAATATGTGTGCATGTGTGTGTGTGTGTGTGTGTGTGCTTGTGAATGTGTGTGTGTGAGTGTGTGTGTGCTGGTGAATATGTGTGCATGTGTGTGTGTGTGTGTGTGTGTCAGGCCCAAATATCCACAG